ACGCTGGGCCATGGTGGCGCATCCCTGTAGTCCACCAGGGCCTAAGCAGGGGAGGATCTCTTGAGCCTGGAAGGTTGAGGCCGCCAGTAAGCCCTGATTGTGTCACTGAACTCCCAGCCTGGACAACAGACAGTAAGATCCTGTCTAAAAAAACAACAAAACAAACACAAACAACAAAAAAACATGATAGACCAATTGAAAAATTTATGTTTCAGGTTCCACATTGCAATTAAACTTTAAGAAACTACACTTGTCCAGTTTGTGGTGGTAATCTAAGAAAAATATCCACAATTATCTGAAAAGGCATTAAGATAGTCTTCTCTCTTTTTCAACTACATAACTGTGTTATCTGAAGAAGGAAGGAAGGAAGGAAAGAGGGAAAGAAGGAAGGAAGGAAGGAAGGAAGGAAGGAAGGAAGGAAGGAAGGAAGGAAGGCAGGCAAAAACCCATCTCTACTAAAAATACAAAAAATTAGCTGGGCATGGTGGCGCATCCCTGTAGTCCCACCAGGGGCTAAGCAGGGAGGATCTCTTGAGCCTGGAAGGTTGAGGCCGCAGTAAGCCCTGATTGTGTCACTGAACTCCAGCCTGGACAACAGAGTAAGATCCTGTCTAAAAACAAACAAACAAACAAACAACAACAACAAAAAAAACATGATAGACCAATTGAAAAATTTATGGTTTCAGGTTCCACATTGCAATTAAACTTTAAGAAACTACACTTGTCCAGTTTTGGTGTGTAATCTAAGAAAAATATCCACAATTATCTGAAAAGGCTATTAAGATAGTCTTCCTTTTTTCAACTACATAACTGTGTGAAGACAGACTTTTTTCATATATTTCAACCAAAACAACCTATCTCAACACATTGAATGTAAATAGAAGCAGGTATGAGAATGCAGCTATCTTCTACTCAGCTCTAGACATTTAACAGACAACAAAAATCCAAAACAATGTCACTCTTCTCACTAATTCTTTTGTTTTGGAAAATACAATTATTTTTCAACTGCTACTTATGCTAATATGTATAGCATATGGTTTATTAATGCTATTTTAAATGAATTAATACATATTTTTAAAATTTCTGTTTTACTTTCTAACATGGTAAATTTAATGGATATTGAACATAAGCACACAAAAACAAAAACAAAATACATAAACAAGAGCTATTTGGGGCTATTTCAGTAATTGTTAAGAGTCTAAAGGGGTTTTGAGGCCAAAATGTTTGAGAATCATGGAGTTATCTATGAAGAAAATATCAACTTTTTTCTCTTTTTTAAATTGAGCTATAATTCATATACCATAAAATTCACCATTTAAAAATATATGACTCAATGTTTTTTAGCAGATTCACAAGATTGTTCAACAATCACTACTATCCAATTCCAGAACCTGTGCCTGTGTGCAGTCATTTCTCATTGCTCCCTACTTCTAGCCTCTGACAACCACAAATCTCAGTGAATGTGCCTATCTGAATATTTAATATAAATGGAATCATATAATATGTGGCCTTTTGTGACTGGCTTCTTTCACTTAGCATAATGTTTACAAGGTTCATCCATGCTGTAGCTTGTATCAGTACTTCATTCCTTTTTATGGTAGAATAATATTTCACTGCATGGATAGACCACATATTTGTTTATCCACTCATTGATTGATAAACACCTGGGTTGTTCCCTGATATGGTTTGGCTCTGTGTCCCCACCCAAACCTCACCTTGAATTGTATTAATCCCCACATGTCAAGGGTGGGACCAGGTAGAGGTAATTGGATCATGGGGATGGTTTCCCCCATGCTGTTCTCGTGATAATGAGTGAGTCTCAGGAGATCTGATGGTTTTATAAGCATCTGGCATTTCCCCTGCTTGCACTCACTCCCGTCCTGCCGCCCTGTGAAGAAGGTGCCTGTTTCTCTGCCTCCCGTTTCTCCTTTGCCTCCTGCCATGATTGTAAGTTTCCTGAGGCCTCCCCAGCAAAGGGGAACTGTGAGTCAATTAAAACCCTTCCTGTATAAATTACCCAGTCTCAGGCAATTCTTTATAGCAGTGTTAGAATGGACTGATACATTCCCACTTTTTGGCCATTATAAATAATGCTGCTATGAGCATTCATGTATACTTTTTTTTTTCTTTCCTTTGAGACAGAGTCTCATTTTGTTGGCCAGGCCGGAGTGCAATGGCACAATTTCGGTTCACTGCAACCTCCACCTCCCAGGTTCAAGCAATTCTCCCATCTCAGCTTCCTGAGTAGCTGGGATTACAGGTGTGCGCCATCATTCCTGGCTAATTTTTGTATTTTTAGTAGAGACAGGGTTTCACCATGTTGGCCAGGCTGGTCTCGATCTCCTGATCTCATGTGATCTGCCCGCCTCGGCCTCCCAAAGTGCTGGGATTACAGGCATGAGCTACTGCGCCCAGCTACACATTTTTTTTTTTTTTTTTTTGAGACAGAGTCTTGCTGTGTTACCCAGGCTGGAGTGCAATGGTATGATTATAGCTCATTGCAGCCTCCAACTCCTAGGCTCAAGCAATCCTCCCACCTCAGCCTCCCCAGTAGCTGGGATTATAGGCATGTACCACCACACCCCGCTAATTTTTTATATTTTGTAGAGATAGAATCTCATTATGTTGCTCAGGCTGGTCTCAAATTCCTGGGCTCAAGGGATCCTCCTGCCTTGGCCTCCCCAAGTTCTGGGTTTGTAGGTGTGAGTCAATGCCCTGGTCTCATGTACAAGTATATATAATGTTCTCAGTTATCTTGGGTATATAGCTAGCAGTGGAATTGCTAGGTCTTATGGTAACTCTATGTTGAACTCTTTGAGGACCTGCCAAACCGTTTTCCACAGAGGCTGCACCTCTTTATATTCCCACTAGTAATTTATGAGGGTTCCAATTCATCTACATCCTTGCTAATACTAGTTATTGTCTTTTTGACTATAGCCATGGTAGTGGGTTTGAAAGTTTTGATTTTCATTTCCCTAATGGTTAATGATGCTGAGTATCTTTTTTTTTTTTTTTTTTTTGAGATGGAGTTTCGCTCTTGTTGCCAACGCTGGAGTGTAGTGGTGCAATCTTGGCTCACTGCAACATCCACCTTCCGGGTTCAAGCAGTTCTCTTGCCTCAGTCTCCCTAGTAGCTGGGATTACAGGCGCCTGCCACCACACCCGGCTAATTTTTCTATTTTTAGTAGAGGCGGGTTTCACCATGTTGGCCAGGTTGGTCTCGAACTCTTGACCTCAAGTGATCCACCAGCCTCGGCTTCCCAAAGTGCTGGGATTACAGGCATGAGCCACCATGCCTGGCCGACGCTGAGTATCTTATCATGTGCTTCTTTGCATTTGTATATTTTCTTTGGAGAAATGCTTATTCCAGTCATTTGCCCAAATTTAAATTGGGTTATTTGTCTTTTTATTATTAAATTGTAAGAGCTCTTATAGGCTGGACGAGGTGGCTCACTCTAATCCCAACACTTTGGATGGCAGAGGCGGGAGGATCGCTTGAGGCCAGGAGTTCAAGACCAGCCTGGGCAACGTAGTGAGATCTCGTCTATACAAAAAAATTTAAAAACTTATCCAAGCATGGTGGTGTCACCTACAGTTCCAGCTCCCGAGGTGAGAGCGAGGTGAGAGGATTGCTTGAGCCCAGGAGGTGGAAGCTGCAGTGAGCTATGATGATGCCACTGCACTTTAGGCTGGATGACAGAGCAAGACCCTGTCTCAACAACAACAGAAAACAGCTCTTCTATCTTCTAGACACAAGGTCCTTTCCAGATCTATGATTTGCAAAGATTTTCTCCCATTCTGTGATTTATCTTTTAACTTTGATAGGGCCTTGACACTCAAATTTTTAATTTTGATGAAGTCTAATTGATCTATTTTTTCTTCAGTTGATTGTGCTTTTGGTGTTGTATGTAAGAAACCATTGCTTAATCCAAGGTAATAGAGGTTTACACCTATGTTTTTTCTAAGAGTTTTATAGTTTTAGTTCTTTCTTTCCTTTTCTTTCTTTCTTTTTTTTTTTTTTTTGACAGAGGTTTGCTCTTGTAGCCCAGGCTGGAGTGAAGTGGCACCATCTCGGCTCACTGCAACCTCTGCCTCCCAGGTTCAAGCGATTCTCTTGTGTCAGCCTCCTGAATAGTTGTGATTACAGGCATGCACCACCATGCCCGGCTAATTTTTTGTATTTTTAGTAGAGACAGGGTTTCATCATGTTGGCCAGGCTGGTCTCGAACTCCTGACCTCAGGGGATCCGCCCACCTCGGCCTCTCAAAGTGCTGGGATTACAAGCGTGAGCCACCGCACCCGGCCTAGTTTTAGTTCTTATCTTTAGGTCTTTGATTAGTTTTGAGTTAATTTTTGTAGACAATAAAAGATAGGAATCCAAATTCATTCTTTTGCATGTGGCTATCCAGATGTCCCAGCACTATTTGTGGGGGAAAAAATTATTTCCTCATTTAATTATCTTGATACCTTGACCATAAACATACAGGTTTATTTCTGGACTCAATTCTATTCCACTGATGTACATGTTGATCCCTGTGCCAGTACCACATTGTTTTATTACTGTAGCTTTTGAAATTGGAAAGTGTAAGTTCTCCAAATTTTTTTTTTTTTTTTTTTTTAGACAAGATCTTGCTCTTTTGCCTAGGCTGGAGTGCAGTGGCACTATCTTGGCTCACTGAAGCCTCAGCCTCCCTGGGCTCAGGTGATCCTCCCACCTCAGCCTCCTGAGTAGCTGGGACCACAGGCGAGCACCACCACACCAGGCTAATTTTTGTATTTTTTTTTGTAGAAACTTTTTTTTGTAGAAATTTTTTGTATTTTTACCACATTGCCCAGACTGGTCTCGAACTCCTGAGCTCAAGCAATCCACGTGCCTTGGCCTCCCAAAATGCTGGGATTACAGGCATGAGCCACTGCACTGGGCCAAGTTCTCCAACCTTGTTCTTTTTCAAGATTTTTGCAGCTGGATAATATCAACTTTAATCTTTTTTTCATGCCAAGTGATGAGTACATGGGTGTTTGTTATATCATTCTCTTCACTTTTCAGTACTAGCAATGTACTAATAGAAAGGATGACATCTAAGTGTATAGCAATTAAATGACTTAAATGAGTTAATACACAGAAAAGTATCTGGCCCCCTCCATACTGTTAGTTGCTGTTGTTGTTATTCTTTTAAGTGAAAATTTTTAAAAGCATCTTTTGCTACTAGACTATCTGGGTTCAAATACTGTCCTGTCACTCCCTGATGGTGTGATCTTGGGCCCGTTATCAAACCTTGCCAAGTTCTAATCTGTAGAATGCGGATAATAACCTTAGTCTCACAGAGTTGTTGTAGGGATTAAATGAGATAAAGACACAATTAAATCAGATAATGGAGATTATAGGAGATGCTTGAACCCAGTAGGTGCTAAACTATTATTTGCCTTCCTATAAGTCTGCAGGGAGCGATCAACTTAGTGAAAAGCCTAGAAATCATTCCACAGGAAGCACATGAAAGAAATGGAGCAGGAAGCTGTTTTTAAATATCCAAAAGCCAGATGTGGAAGATCTTTTCTGTGTACTCCAGAGAGTGCCAGGGCTCCTGAATTTCAGGAAGCCATTCTGGCCAGTCATCCCCAGCCCCCATTCTTCCGGGAGAGCCCTTAATGCTCTGTGATCATCGTGCCAGCGCTCCCCAATTCGGAATTATAATTATTTAGGTCTTAGACGCCCCCATCGGTTGGTCCCATTCCATAAATATTTACAAAGCGCTTACTATCTGCCAGACACTATGTGTGCTACACCCTGGGACTCCTGGGTGAATGAGACACTGCTCGTATTCTCCAAGTCACAGTCCAGCAGAACGCCAATTGGTGAAAGTTTGGAGGAGCCCCATTTCTGCTCCATGTAGCCGCTTGCAGTCTCCTCCTCCTTCCGTAAAAGCCTTTAGTTTCAGAACCAAGGCAGCAGATACTTCTCCCCAGTAAATTGCCAGACCCAAAGAGAAAGTTTCAGGACCGGCAGTCCAAGCGCTTCCTGGCAGAGGTCCCAGGCCTGGCAATACGCGGCTTTCTGAGCGAGGAGCACCCTCTAGTGTCTGTCCACGGTAAGGCGGGTCCAACGTAAAACCTTTCAAACATCCCTATTTATTGCGAAGAATTTCTTCGCTTAGTTGAGTGCTGCTCATGGTTAAGCTGCTTTCAGGTCTCCGCTATAAGACAACAACATTGACAGTTTAAAAAATAATAAATACCATAGTTGCCAACATCTTTTGAGCACTTACTATGTGCCAGGCCCTGTGTTAATTGTCTTACATGGCTTACCCAGGAGGCAGGTACTATTAGGATGATGATGTCCCAGATATTGATGAAGAAACTGAGGCAGGTGGGGCAGCCAGCTCAAGCAGTCAGACTCCATAATCATGCGCTTAATTTTTTGGTTTACTGTCAAAAAGAAGCAACAACCAGGGGCAATACCAAGATAGTTCTAGTCAAATTTCTCCTGGTTATTTGGGCGAATTGTAATTTAGCTAAATCCAGCAGATTTATGTCAAAATATCAAATATGGAATGATGATGAGCCTTTCTCATGTTCATACTGAAGGGAGTAGCCAGAAAAAAATCTAGACTAGGGTTTTCAAACTGTGGGTTGTAACTCGTTGATGAGCTGGGTAAACAATTTAGTGGATTTTTACTAGCACTTTAGAAATTGAAATAGCCGGGCGAGGTCTGCAATCCCAGAACTTTGGGAGGAGGCCAAGGTGGGCAGATTACTTGAGCTTAAGAGTTCAAGACCAGCCTGGGCAACATGGAGAAACCCCATCTCAAAAAAAAAAAAAAAAAAAAAAGCCGGGCATGGTGGCTTGTGCCTGTAGTCCCAGCTACTTGGGGGCTGAGGGGGAAGGACTGCTTGAGCCCAGGAAGTCAAGGCTTCAGTGAGTCGAGTTTGCACCACTGCACTCCAGCTTGGGTGACAGAGAATGACCCTGAAAAAAAAAAAGAGAAAGGAAGAAAGAGAGAGAGAGAGAAAGAGAGAGAGAAAGAAAGAAGGAAAGAAAGAGAAAAGAAAGAAAGAAAGAAAGGAAGGAAGAAAAGAAAGAAGAAACTGAAATACAGTCATGTGCCATTTAGCAAGAGGGAAACATTCTGAGAAATGCATGGCTAGGTGACTTTATCGTTGTGATAACATCAGAGTATACTTACACAAACCTAGATGGTATAACCCACTACACACCTAAGTTATATGGTGTAGCCTTTCACTCCTAGGCTACAAACTCATCCAGCATGTTGAGTACTGTATACTGAATGCTCTAGGCAACTATAACATAATGGTGTTTGTGTATCTAAACATAGAAATGGTACAGTGAAAATATGGTATTATAATCTTTTTTTTTTTTTTTTTTGAGATAGAGTTTTGCTCTTGTTGCCCAGCCTGGAGTACAATGGTGGGGTCTAGGCTCACTGCAACCTCCGCCTCCTGGGTTCAAGCGATTATCCTGCCTCAGCCTCCCGAGTAGCTGGGATGACAGGCGCATGCCACCAAGCCCAGCTAATTTTTGTATTTTTAGTAGAGACAGGGTTTCTCCACATTGGCCAGACTGGTCTTGAACTCCTGACCTCAGGTTATCCCCCTGCCTAGGCTTCCCAAAGTGCTGGGATTACAGACGTGAGCCACTGTGCCTGGCCTGGTATTATAACCTTATAGGATGACTACCATATATGTGGTTCATTGCTGACCCAAACACTGTTATGTATCACATGACAGCATAACAAATCAGGACTATTCTAGCATGCATAACGAGGCAGTACATATTCTCCCACCCCACCTGCCTCTCTCTCTCCACACACACGTGATACATGATATATATTTAAGTGACTCAAATCTTCCATCCAGAAACCTTTCAAGAAGGTTCCACTTGGCAGCCCACTCCTATCCTGAGGTTACTGATTGCCTTAGGCAGTTTGAGCTGCCATAGCAAAAATATCCTAGACTGGGCAGCTTAAACCACAAACACTTCTCAGAGTTCTAGAGGCTGAGAAGGACAAGGTGAAGGCGCTGGCAGATTTGGTGTCTGGCGAAGGCCTGCTTCCTGGGTTGTAGATGGTCATCTTCTCAGTATCCTCACATGGCAGATGGGAGTCTCTTTTATAAGGGCTCTAATCCCATTCATGAAGGCTTATGACCTAATTACCTCTCAAAGGCCTCACCTCCAAATACCATCACACTGGAGATTCTATTTCAACATATACATTTTGGAGACAGATAAATGTTTGGTCTACAACATTGATGAAGCACTACATCGCTTGCATCTTCTCTTTCAGCCAGGGTGAGAAGCAGCTTTCCCACCCAGCACAGTGCTGTGGATGTGTGGATGCTTTGCTGATTGGGTTGGAGGCATGCTAGGCCCCTGTCCTGTCACTCTCCTCTGCCCCAGCACACAGCAGCTCCCCTCTTGCTCCACTGATCCACCATCATTTCTCCATAATTTTGTATGCACTCCTTGTCCACACATATATGAGCCTTTACTTATCCTTTAATATCCATTTGACCAGGTGAACTTATCATGATGAATGTAAAATATTCATAAAATGGTACAAAAAAGTGAGCATGTGTGATTATGTGCTTTTTTCTGTGGTGAGGGTCTGTAGCTTAGGTAAGATTCTCACAGGAGTCTGTGACCCCCAAAATATTAAGAATTAACCACTACATTTGCCTGGAAGCCCCACAGGGTCAGGATCTATCTCTTTTATTAATCTGTTATTTCTCTGTCATGTGTTTCTAGCTGACAAACACATAGTAGATATTCGAACACCGCTAGTCCCTAAACACTTCTGCCTACTTCTGCTGTCACCACCTTTATTCAAGTCACTATTTGTCCACCCTGACTACAACAGCAGCTTCCTAAATGGTCTCTATTTCTGCCTTTGCCCCCTAGAAGCCATCATTCATACAACAATGTGATCTTTAAAATCAGATCATGCCACCCTCTTGCTTAAAACCTTTCAGTGACCTCCCATTACACTTGGAATAAAATCCAAGCTTCTCACTCTGATGTCCCAGGCCTGGCATCATCTGGCTTCTAGCTGGCTCTCTAATCTCATCCTACACCACTCTCCTCTCTTCCTCTGCTCTGGCCACATATAGCCAAGTTCCTATTCCTCCAATGTCCCAAGCTCTTTCTTCCCTGGCTTGGTAAAAGGTTCTTGGGAAAATCTTCCAGAGACGAAATCACCTTCAAACCAATTAAATATACACTTAAGTAGGTGAAGCAGGAGAATTGCTTGAACTCAGGAGGTGGAAGTTGTAGTAGCCGAGATCATGCCACTGCACTCCAGCCTGGGCAACATACCTAGACTCTGTCTCAAAATATATATAATAATAATAATAATAAAGCTAGATACATCTAAACGTTTGAATTATAGAGCCATTTCAGTACTTCATTTGAAATATTAAGTACATGGTTGGGTTTTAGACATGTATTTTATTTATTTATTTATTTATGTTTTTTTGAGACAGAGTCTTCTCTGCTGCCCAGCTAGATGCAGTGGTGTGATCTTGGCTCACTGCAAGCTCCACTTCCTAGGTTCAAGTGATTCTTGTGCCTCAGCCTCCAGAGTAGCTGGGACTACAGGTACACACCACCATGCCCGGCTCATTTTTGTATTTTTAGTAGAGATGGGGTTTCATCATGTTGCCCAGACTGGTCTGGAACTCCTGGCTTCAAGCAATCCACCTGCCTTGGCATCCCAGTCTTAGGATTACAGGCATGAGCCACTGCACCTGGCCTAGCCATGTATTTTAAAGGGATCACTGTGGGGCTTCCACTTCTGCGCATGAAGGATAAACTGTTGTAGAGATTGCTTCCCCCACCACACACACCCAAAACTAGTAAATTAAACAAAATATATGAAACAACTGTTTTCACTCCTTGGACAGCAGGCAGTGCAAGACTAAGATCTCTGAGAAAAGAAAAATAAGTTCAGCCTCACCAGAGCCCCAGCTTACTACAAGGAGACAGTGAAGAGAGTGCTACATGGAGTACCCAAACAAAGCCCCGTGGTCTCACTGAGTTTAGGAGACAGGGTTTAGAGTTCAAGGATGTGAAGGCAGCTAGAATTTGTGGGAGAGAGTGCCAGAGAAGCAAGAGCTGCATGGGGGGAGAGAGAGAGAAAGCAACAAAGTCTCATAGATCATTAGAGATTCCCTCAAGTCTTTGGGGACTGATCTACACAGGTGTGGGGTGAAATTCCAGACGGTTAGAAAAAGTAAAATCAGAAAGCAGAAGACTGAACAAGTGTTGGAGTTTACACAGGGCTGGGCATAGTTTGTGTTTCCATCAACCAGAGTGAAGAGACCTCATAACACACAGGTATTGGGTAGAGTCTTCAGGAGGATAGAGACTTAGTGGGGCTAAATTATTAACAGCTCTAGAATAGAGGCCAACCTGGGCTTTTCCTAACAAAGCTTAACAGCAAGACTTAAAAGAAGAAAACAAATCACAAGTAACTTAATTATATGCCAGGACAAAATTCAGAACTCTGTTTTTTTGTTTGAGTGTTTGTTTTGTTTTGTTTTGTTTTGTTTTGAGACAGAGTCTCACTCTGTCACCCAAGTTGGAGTGCAGTGGCATGATCTCGGCTCACTGCAACCTCTGCTTCCTGAGTAACTGGGACCACAGACGTGTGCCACTATGCCCAGCTAATTTTTGTATTTTTCTCCAGTACTCTTTAAAAGAATACAACAATATCTTGCACTCAACAACCCAAAATACACGATATTCAGCATCCAATAAAAAATTGCCAGGTAGTCAAATAAATGGGAAAAAATTACCCATAACCAGCAGATAAATGAAGCAATAGGAACAGACCACAAAATTCAGAGATGATGACATTAGTAGGCAAGGATCTTAAAATAGCCATTATAAATCTCATAAATTATGCCCAAGGGTATAAAGAAAAACATAAATATGAGGAAGAGAGAAAAGAAATATATTTTTAAAGTACCCAAAATGGAACTTCAAGAGATGAAAAGCATATGATCTAAAAATGAAAGATGCACAGGAGGAATTAACAGCAGATTATACACTGCAGAAGCACTGCATAAGAAAAGATTGGTGAATTTAAAAATATAGCAATAGCCGGGCGCGGAGGCTCACGCCTGTAATCCCAGCACTTTGAAGGCCAGGCGGGCGGAATCACGAGGTCAGGAGATCAGACCATCTCTGGCTAACACGGTGAACCCGTCTCTACTAAAAATGCAAAAAATCGCCGCGGCGAGGCGGCGGCGCGCCTGTAGGCCCAGCTACTCGGGAGGCTGAGGCAGGAGAATGGCGTGAACCCAGGAGGCGGAGCTGCAGTGAAGCCGAGATCGCGCCACGCACTCCAGCCTGGGCCACTAAGCGAGACTCTGTCCTCAAAAAAAAAAAAAATAGATATAATCAATAT